CCGTCCATTCATGTCTTACATCCTTAATGGCCATGTCCATCTATTCTCACAATTTTTGTGTGTGGACAAAAACCAAGTAACCTAAATTTATTATCACTGTATATGTTAAATATAAATATGTTATTTAATTATAAACAACAATACAGATACCTTAACTTGTAGTGTTGTCTATTGTTATTTAGTTACATATCTATGTTAATATTAGCTTGGTAAGTGTCTCAAAATGCCTTAAAATAATTTTTAAGAATTTTTCCGAGAATTTTTTGACAATCCACGGCGTCGCACGCGCCCCAAGCGCCACCCCTACGCGTGGGGAAGTTCTGGCCGTAAATAAAAAAAAATTTGAGTGCTAATTTTATAAATATTTTTAGAATGGTGCCTAATATGTAATTAATTTCTGTTAGGGTGATATTTGTGTAAAACTGTTGACCGTTGACCTTTGACTGCGTTGACCGACGTTGACTGACCGTTACTTTTTCCAAGTATACCTATCCTGACGTTTTTCGACGCCCTGAGTCTGATTCCGCCATCTGTGTTTTGAAATTCGGACTCGAAAGCCTCGAAATTGCCTGTCAAACCCGTTGACTTTGACTTTGACCGAAAAATCAAAATTTTTGAAAAGTCATATTTTATGTTTTTCGGCGTCCTGAATCCGAAGTCCGTTTCGACAAATTTGAACCTGGTAAGCTGGTTTTCACTGATTCGATCCGTTTTTCAAAAATTAAGTTCCGTTTTTTATGAAATTTCTATTGTTATATATTTGAGGAATTATTGGAATTTGAATTAAGGATCGAGGACGTTCGAATGGAATTTATATGGTCGATCAGTATGACACAAAAATTGAGGTAATACATTACTACATCTTTATGCTTTATGGAACATCTTGATAAGGGATAAATGCATAAACTGACTAACCAAGCTCACAGCAAATGCAATATCTGGTCTCGTATGAGCCAAATAAATCAATTTCCCCACCAGCTTCTGATATCGATTCTTGTCCACAGGCTCATCACCATCTTCTTTTTCGAGTTTTTGATTCGGATCAATAGGATTCGCTACTGGTTTACATCCGAGTAATCCGGTCTCTTTCAAGATATCGAGGACATATTTCCTTTGCGAGATAATTATACCTTTTGAGGATCTAGCCACCTCCATTGCAAGGAAATATTTGAGTTGTCCTAGATCCTTGACTTCAAACTGGTTGGATAAGAAGTTCTTCAACGACTCCAACTCTACTGTGTCATCTCCTGTCATAACAATGTCATCTACATACACAATTAAAATATCAATTTTACCATTATTGTGTTTGTAGAACATAGTATGATCAGACTGGGCCTGAGTGTAACCATGTTGTTTCACAGCTCTCGTGAATCTCTCGAACCAGGCTCTCGGAGATTGTTTCAATCCATAAATGGATTTCTTTAGCTTGCAGACCCTGCCATCCTTCTTCAATTCATCAAAGCCTGGAGGAACTTCCATAAACACCTCTTCCTCTAGCTCACCGTTTAGGAACGCATTCGTCACATCAAACTGTCTGAGAGTCCAATCCAGATTGGCGGCTAGTGAGAGTAGGACACGTACGGTGTTTAGTTTGGCCACAGGTGCGAAGGTCTCCTCGTAGTCAAGGCCGTATGTCTGAGTGAAGCCTCGTGCTACGAGTCTTGCCTTGTATCTCTCGACCGAGCCATCTGCATGGTATTTGATGGTGAACACCCACTTGCTGCCTACTGATCGTTTCCCTTCAGGTAAAGGAGTTAGATCCCACGTGTCATTCTTTTTCAGGGCCTTTAACTCCTCAAAAACTGCCTCTCTCCATCTCGGAACTTCTAGAGCTTCATGTATCGACTTAGGTAGTGCATCATCCATAATCCTGGTGGAATAAGCTTTGAAATCTGGAGAGAGTTTATTATAAGATAAGAAATTGGATATTGGATGTTTTGTGGTACATGATCTAACACCTTTGCGCAAGGCTATGGGTTCAAAGAATTCTCTAGAAGGCTCTAAATCTGGAGAAGAAATAGGAGAAAGAGAAGTTGTACCTTGGACCATAGTCGAGTCCGATGGTTGGCATACCTTGGGGGCCGGTGGAACATTACTTGGGCGAGTCATCCGTCTAGAATAAACACGAAGTTCAGTAGGTGGTTCCAAGTTAGTTTCTACCTGAGTCTCATGAGGTTGTGAATTTATAGGTTGTGAAATCCTAGGATTAGTTACGGAAATATGAATTGGTTCCACTGAGCTATTTACAACCGATTTTGGCAAGGATGTTTATTCCCAAAAACTCATTTCAGAGTCATTCTCCCCCGGAAGAGAGTTTTTGTCAAAAAAATGTTGTTTTTCAAAAAACGTGACATCCATACTCACATAATACTTCCCAGATTTAGGATCAAAGCATTTATACCCTTTTTGTGTTGGTGAAAAACCTAGAAATATGCATTTATGTGCTCGGGGATCGAGTTTTCCTCTATTTTGGCCATGCATATGAACAAAAGCAATACAACCAAAAATTTTAGGTGTTAAATCAGTGAAAGATCTATTTTCAGGAAACATATTCTTTAGAGCTTGCAAAGGAGTAATATAATTAAGAACTCTTGTAGGCATTCGATTTATCAAATAAGACGCTGTTAAGAGTGCTTCATTCTAAAAACGATTAGGAACATTCATAACAAACAGTAAAGCCCTAGTCACCTCTAATAAATGCCTATTTTTTCTTTCAGCAACTCCATTTTGTTGGGGAGTATCAACGCAAGAACTGTGATGAATAATTCCTTTTTGTTTCAAAAAATCACCTAAGATTGCATTAAAATATTCTCGACCATTATCGGTTCTAAGAACTTAAATATTTGCTTGAAACTGAGTATTGATCAGTGAGTGAAAATTTTTGAAAACACTTGCTGCCTCGAATTTTTTTTAGTAAATAAATCCACGTGGCTCTAGTGTGATCATCAATGAATGTGATGAACCATCTAGATAGGCTGTTTTTACTCGTGAAGGGCCCCAAATATCACTATGCACAAGAGAAAAAGGTTTTGATGGCGTATACTTTAAAGATGGATAAACAGATCTATGATGTTTTGCCAATTCACAAGCTTCACACTGAAAAGAAAAACCGTCATTTTTTTTGAAAAGATTTGGAAACAAATATTTCAAGTAATTAAAACTATGATGGCCTAACCTATAATGCCACAACATTATTTCCTTCTCACAAGACAAGGTAGTAAAGCATCTCGGTTTCTGAACTTGTTTATCTAAAGGATTGTCCATGACCAAGTGATAGAGTCCATCAACCTCCTTAGCATTGCCAATCATCTTCCCCGAACAAGGGTCCTGAAATTCAAATCCAGCAAATGTTATTGTAGCAATGCATTTGCAATCATGAATAATACAATTAACAGAGATGAGATTGTAAGAGAGCTTTGGGACATGTAGGACATTTAGTAATGTGAGAGATGGAGAAATAATGATAGAGCCTTTTCCAGCTATAGAGGTTAGGGAGCCATCAGCAATTTTTACCTTCAGATTACCAGATAAAGGAAAATAAGATGAGAATATGGAGGAATTACCGGTCATGTGATCTGTTGCCCCTAAATCTATGATCCAAGGGTTTGATTTAGAACCGGCTATGAAAGCTGTAGGATATGTACCTTTCTGGGCTAATGATGAAGAGGCAATATAAGATGATGGGTTAGGAGTGTTAGATATGGAATGAGAACTCATTAGTTGATACAATTGCTCTAGTTGTTCTTTGCTGAAGGCAGACAGTTCTGAGGCAGGTTTCGGCTCTTCAGAAGCATCTTTAGATGAGGCATGGAATCCCTTTGCATTACGAGAATTTCGATTGGCTGAAAAATTCTCGGCTGGCTTCCCGTGTAGCTTCCAACACTTGGCTTTAGTGTGTCCCGGCTTGTTGCAGTGCTCGCAGATTGGCCGATCTCTATCGTTTCGACGATCGTTGCGACGTGGTGGCTGACCCGAGAACAAGGCAGAAGACTCGGTGGGATTTGGTGAGTGGCCTTCAAGCATGACTGTCCGCCGGCTCTCCTCTCGTCTGACTTCGGAGAAGACTTCTCTTGTGCTTGGTAGTGGTTCACGACCAAGAATGCGCCCTCTGACTTCATCTAATTCCTTGTTAAGGCCGACAAGGAATTCGAAGACGCGTTCTTTTTCCACCATCTTCTGGAATAGAGCCCTGTCCTTAGCACAACTCCATTCGTAGTCGCTGAACATGTCAACCTCTTGCCACAAGGTCTTGAGTTCAGTGTAGTATTGAGTGACAGTTTTTTCTCCTTGTTTTAGCCTCCATAACCGAGTTTTTAGTTCAAACCATTATCATGCGTTCCCGAGATCAGAATAGGTCTCGTTCACAGCATTCCAAATGTCATGAGCAGTAGGTAGGAAGAGATAAGTTCTCCCTACAATCGGATCCATGGAATTTATGAGTCAAGACATAATCATCGAGTTTTCTGCCTCCCATCTTTCAGATTCTTCATCTTCTTCGGCAGGTTTCGTAGTGGTACCTGAGAGATAGCTGAATTTTCCACGGCCACGAATAAACAGTTTCACAGATTGTAACCACTGTAAGAAATTATTTCCATTCAACTTGTGAGAAGTGATGGATATGTTTTGGAAGGATTCAGTGTTTAGGGTGATTGAAGGTGAGCGAGTAGAACTCATAGAGTCGATGCCAGAGGTATCATCGTAGGGTTTGGCCATTTTGGCTTTGACACCATAAAGACGGAAAAACTTGTTCCGAATAAATCGTGTTTTATTTCTGCTGAATATGGCTGACTTAAATAGAGTTTACAATGTAACAACTTTACATAAAAAGATGCATAAAATTAGCAACAGAATAAAAATGATTCTATCTAATTAAAAATGATCCTATCTAATAACTAATAGAATAAAAAACTGATTCTATCTAATTAAAAATGATCCTATCTAATAACTAATAGAATAAAAACTGATTCTATCTAATTTAATTTAGATATTCTCGACAGTTAATAATATTGCATATATTAATTTTATGAGATTAAGTTTCAGTGTTTTCTTCTCCCATCTTTTACAGGGAAAGGATGGTCTTTCTAAGCACGAAAAAGAACTTGACAAACTCAGATCTAAAATAGAGCAGATGGAGAAAGCTAACTTGGATCCAAAAGTTTGGACAATGCGTGGAGAGGTAACTTTATCTATAACCTGTCCGGATATTATCTAGCAAATGTGCTTTTGAATAAGAATACTTATACTGAGATTTTTATTAACAGGTAACTGCTGCAAGAAGGCAAAAGAATAGTGCATTAGAAGTTGATTTGGATTTTGAGCACAATGTTAGGCCCGCCCCTGTAATTACAGAGGAGGTTACTGCATCACTTGAAGATTTGATAAAGACTAGGATCAGTGAGGTAAACTTCTTCCTTAACTTCTAGGTTCTTCACTAATTTTATCAACATAGTACAGATGTTTTCATCAACATTATCATTGTGAATTGTCTGTACTTTTCTCTAAAAACCGCAGCACTTCCTGCCTTCTGTTTTTTTATATACACTTGAGTTTGCTTACTGCTTGAAGAGTTCTACAAACAATTCTAATATATATGGTTAGCATATGACATGTTTATGTAAAATAGAGTTTTATGTTACTTTTCTAGATGTATACATTATTTTCCTGAAGTTTTGTGGCTGAAATTCTAGATGGTTCTGTTTTCATTAATTACTTTAACTTGATGATTGTTTTTCTTGTATTTGTTGGTATATACATGTTTTTAAGAACTGTACAGTTAGGGATTCGTGGCATATGTAGTTCTGCATTGCCTTACATAATTTTTATATATTTTTATACAGTTTATTTGTTGAGACGATCTTTATGCAAATTAAAGGGAATGTTTGATTGTTGGGGTTTTAATAGATACAAAATTGTGAAGTTTCATTATTTTCCACATTCCAGACAGATGGTTGTTAGTTGATAGAGAACACCAGTAAGCTAATCATGGATTATCTTAAGATTTTAACTTTGATATTCTTGTTGTATCTATAGGTGTAATTATAATTTGAGGTTATGTTTGGTATTTTACGTTTGATTGAGGATAGTATCTTAGTGTAGTTTTCCCTTTCCTGTTAGGGTTTTTTAGTATTCTATTTAGAGTCTGAAGTACTTTCCTTTAAGACCTCTTAGGGGTTCTGATTATTTTAGGATGAGTGTTGGTTGATATTGAGATCGTGTGATGCAGTCATTCCTTAGATGTTTTGCATTAGCGCTAACAAGAAGTAATATGATTTTATATAGGGCCTGTTTGATGATGTTCAAAAGGCTCCAACTTTATCATCCAAAGCACCAAGAGAGGTCAAAGAACTGGTAAGTTGTAATATGTTATTTTGAAGGTTCCGATACCTTTTCTTTTTCTCTTGTAATTAATGAAGGAAATTAATTATTTCAAGCTGTATGTTTGTAATATTTCAGGATGAGAACAAGAGCAAGAAGGGTCTTGCAGAGATTTATGAGGTTTGCATGCTACGCAATTTGAACATACCATTAAATGTTTATATTATATTAAGCATCTTCTGTAATCGCCCTCCAGCACTTGTGTATTTCTCATCTGTGTACCAACTTTTAAGCATGCTCAGCTCAAGAATCATGAGTGACAATTCTAACTGACGAGATTTTAATCTTTTCCTTCTTTTTAATTGTAAAAACTGTAGGAAGAATTTGTCCAGAAAACAGATCCAGCCTCTGCCCCATTAACCTTCTCAGATGAACTAAAGAAAGAGGTAACTATTATATGGTTTTGTTTTTCTTTTGATACCCTAGACTCACAGCATTCCAGTCTAGAATTCGCTTTTGCATTAGTTCTTATGTTCGACATTCAGGCATCTAAGATGTTCCGCTTTTTTCTTCTTTATCGAGGCCAGTTTGCTGTTTAAGAAACTTTGCTTGAAGTTGGATGCCCTCTCTCATTTCCACTTTACTCCTAAGCCTGTATGATTCTCATTAGGTTTCCTGATTACTAAATAGTCATAAAAAATCAGTTTTGCTGTAGCGTTATATGATGGATTGATTTTTATAGGTTATTGAGGACTTGTCCATACAAACAAATGTTCCCGCCCTTGCAATGGAAGAGGTAGGGATGTTTCCCTTTATTCTTTTTAAAGATTCTCAGTCTTGTCTTGGTTTGACAATTGATCACATTTGTATTTGTGTGTATATGTTAATTTTTCTTGGTCAGATTGCACCTATGGCCGTCTCAGATGCAGCTATGCTGGCTCCCGAGGAAGTTTTTTCTGGTAAAGGTGACATTAAAGAAGAAACAGAACTGACGAAGGCAGAAAGGAAAAGGAGGAGGGCTAACAAGAAAAGGAAGTTTAAGGGTGAGAAAATTAAAATTTCTCAGAATAACTAGTACTCTGCTCTTGTGGGATTTAAGGATGTTTTTCCAATGCTTTTTGCAATATCAAAAATTTCTCAGGAGTCTTTCCTGCTAATGATTTAATGTACAATCTCTCACAAGCATATGATTTTTTTTTTACAAAAGGCTTAATTACTATCATAGTAACTCGTATTTTGCTATGTTATTATGATGGGACGTACTTAGGTTTGGTAATTGAAAAACTGTTATGTAGTAGCTACGGTATGGGTGACACAGTTAAAACTGGTTGCTGGCTTTCCTAGCTGTAGCCCTTGAGTTCATTTTATTCAAGTTTTAATGCATAGTAATTGCAGCCGAAGCAGCTAAAAGGATGGGTAAAAGGCCACGAGATAATACATCTCTATGCAATAGCGATGAAGGTGATTATTGTCGGTATATGTATTCTACGAGCTATCCTTTGTTGTAAGTTAATTGGTTGTTCATAATATTTGCAGGCAGGGAAGTATAGTATTGGTGAAGCGTGGGGAGGTGGAAGACGAGAGCATTGGGGTTCATACTTTATTACGTATTTTCTGTCTTGCTTTTGCATGAGCAGAGCAAGCCAAACCTTAAGACAGAGTTGAGAGGATCAATCCGGGATTTTACTTTTTGTAAGAACATAATTAATATGTCCAGTTTTAATGACAGATGATATAGCACTTGTTTGTGCCAATTTTAATATTTTTTTTCATATTCGCTCAATTTGTTTCTTCTTTTTTGCCCCTCCCTACAAATGATGGATTGTGATTTGTGAATTGACGTTAGATTGAATAAAAGGTCATTTGCTGCTCGAGTAGCGAGTAATGATAAAATTTGACAAGTTCATTACTTATATTAAAAATACTAATTGTATTAATTTCTTTTTACAACATTGGAAGTTTTTAAAAGTAGAAAAAAATAAAATGTTTTATAAAGAGATTCTCGTGCACCAAGATCTATATTGTTTTAAATATATGTTTTTAGTATATCTAAATAATTTTGTAAGGGAAATTAAATTTCAATCTTAATCAGATCCAAGGTTCTTTAACACACATACAAAAATTGAACACTGAACTAATATTTCTTTTATTAATTATTAAGAAATTATATTATTGATTATTTATTAAAATCATATTTATTTAAAGTTAAATAAACGAATGTATAATGCATTTTTTGAATGATATAGCATCAATTGTTTACAAGTGTGTCTGGTAGGGTACATATTTGACGTAGGTAACACTAAACTAGTGTAATAGAAATATTTCAGAAAGAAAAAACTATACAATATATGTTGAAAGACACATATTAATCAAATTAAACGATAACGTAAATATACTTCCATTGAATTTAAATACGAATGCAAAATCAAATTCAATTATTTACTTTTCATCTTGAATTTTAATAGAAAACTATCATATAAACAATTAGTTTAAAATAAATATTATTATTTAATTTTTAATGGGATAAATAGGTAAAATGTCGAAAACTAAAATTTATTTCTTAAAAAAAATACGAAGGCGAGTGAGGGTCCAGAAAGACGAATAAAAAAGGTATACCTGGATTAAAGTATTAATGACGTGAACATAAGCGTAGATGGGAGGGATTTTGCCGCCCAGTAAAACTAAATTTAGCGAGAACCGCAGGACCAAATCAAACCTTGGATCACAATGAAAAACAATCACCCAGCGACTGCTGGTTTGTAAGAAAGAAATTTATGAGCTAAGGTTAAACTACAAAACAAAACCCAACCCAAGCCGTATTAATTCTTGTGTGTTAGGGAGCAATGGCAACTACACTGTTTCTGCAGCGGTGCTCTCTGTTTTCTTTCTCTTCATTTACTCAGAACCGCCCTTTAACTAAATTCCTCGATTCTTCCCCAACAATTGTCCGTTTCTCCAACCACAGGCGTTTCAAACTAGTTTCTGCTCTGCCCACTGTGCGTGGAAACCAAAGCTCATCAACAGCTTCAGTTAAGAAGGTAAGAAAAACAATTGTTCGGGGTCTTAAAAATTATCAAATATGAACGCATTCTCTCTCTCTCTTTTTCCTTTTTTTCTTTTTTGGGGTTTTAGCTGATTGAGTGTTTGATAAATCGAGTTGATTTGTCGGAGTCCGAGGCGGAGTCGTCTCTGGAATTTTTGTTAACCGAAGATGACGAGGCTCTGATTAGTGCTTTCCTTGTTTTGTTGAGAGCCAAAGGCGAGACTTTCGAAGAAGTAAGTTCCTTATGAACAAATTCCTTGGCCTTGTAAAGAAAATTAGGTGTTTTACATGCAAAAAATTCTTTTGAATGGGGCGGTGATCCGAGTAAAAAGACCGGCAGTGGCCTCTAATATCGTCTCTGTATAGGTTGTGGGATTGGCGAGGGCAATTTTAAAACATGCTTTGAAGGTAGAAGGGTTAAATGATGCGGTTGACATTGTTGGAACGGGTGGTGATGGAGCAAACACCGTAAATATTTCAACAGGTGCCTCAATTTTGGCTGCTGCCTGTGGTGCAAAAGTTGCCAAGGTCACTCACAGTCCCTCTATTTGAAACTATTTCTCTTTCTCTATAATTGCTGGGCTTATGGATGCAAAAGTTATTGTCCTGCATACTTAAATCTTTTATTGTCTGTGCTGCAGCAGGGGAACCGATCAAGTTCTTCTGCCTGTGGCAGTGCTGATGTATTAGAAGCTTTTGGGGTAGTTACTGATTTGAACCATGAGTTTGGTATGTTTTGAACACTGGCATTTATGGTATTGCGATTCTAGTATCTGTCTCTTCCATATGGGTAAGTCACATGCAAACCTTTTATAGTGTTCCATTATATGATCATTGGAGGGACAAGTTTTTTTCCCATTACTTTTTGTCATTAGTTCAATGTAAATGACATTTTATTCCCTGGTGACTAGTATCAGTATGTCTCCCATGCCAACCTACTAGGTGCTTAGGTAAAGCTCAATTATCCACATATTAGCAGCTAAAGAAATGTATCTAGCATCTTGCCGAGAATTGTTAAAAGCTCTTCCATGGGAGTACTAGGCTTTTCTATACAATGTTTGTCAGGCTATTGTGTGGAAAGTGTTGAATAGTTTAGTTTATATCTAGTTTCTTAATTAATTTGAAAAGAAAAAGGGAATTCTAATATTTTTAGTGTTGCAAACTTCACTTGCTGTAGTAACAGTTTCCAGTACTCAACAGATGGATAACCATGTTAGATCTGATATAGAATTCTATTAGAATCCCAATACCCCACATTGTTGCTTACTTTTGTACCTAGTTACACGCTGTTTTTAGCCTTCTCAAAATCTTTAACAGAACAACGTGCATGTTTTAATATAATTGCAAAAAGAGCTCATTCAACATGATCTGTAAGGCTTTCAGTTTGGACACTGTTTGTTCTTCTGGGAAATGAAAACGTGTTTTTATAGACTGAGGCTTGCTTTCAATCTTTTTGTTTTACATTGTTTATGGCCTGCTGCTGAGAATTTAGGAAGACTTTTCATTCCCATTCAGTAACACAACATACACATCATAACTTTTACATAAAGACCATCTCTTATTACTTGTGTCGTAACCGGTTTTCGCCCGGGCACGAATTTTTTTTTACTTGGCGGGAAAAGTGATGTGAATAAATGGTTTTTAAAATAATTTGGGAGTCGCCATCGGCCTTTTGGATCAGGTAGGTCGAATACCTAAAAATCATCCTTTAAAAGAGTTTTTAACAAAACATCGATTAAAAGATAAACTGATCTGCGTTTTAACCAAAAATTCGTTCTTTTTAATAATAAAAAGGGATTCGTGGTCGGTTACGTTTAGGGAAGGATTAACACCCCTACAACGCCCAAAATTAATACTTTTTAATTATAAATTGTCTCTATTATTAGAAATTTAAAAATTCAAAAATATATTTAATTTATAATCCTGTTATTTCAAATTTATTAATATAATTTAAAGAAAATATATTAATATATATATACATATATTTCCTTAACATATTTATTTATTTAGAAATATTAGAAAAGGGCTTCTAGGTGCTTTAAGACAGCTCTTTCTTTTGATATTAATAAATAAATAAATAATAATAAAAAGTTATTTTAATATAGTAAGATATTTATTTATTTAAAAATATTAGAAAAGGACTTCTAGTTATTTTAAGACAACTCTTTCCTTCAATATTAAAAAATAAATAAATAACTAAAACATAATAATAAAATAAAATTAAACATATCTAGTTCATAAATAGGATTTTTATTTCATAGAAAATAAATAAAATAAATATTATTTATTATGTATATTTATATGATTAAGATAATAATAAAATAATAATTAAAGCAATAATTGAAATATAAAAGTAATAATATTGTAAATAAATAATGATTAAAATAAAATAAATTAAAAATATAGTGTAAAATGTAGAATATTTAAACTTAGTACTCTACTTTAAAATATCATAAAATCCAGAGGCCTACAGTGTAATTTAGCCTTAATAATATATACGTGATTAAAATAAAATTTATTAAAATTACCAGGGACTAATTAGGTATTTATCGTAAATATGTATAATTACGGGTAAGGACTAAAATGTAAAGAAAATAAAATTTAAATACTGAATTGAAAGGCTCAATAATTGATTTTAGTGACCAAAGTGTAAAGATATAAACATAGAAAGGTCACGGAAAGGGTTTTACCCTTGATGGTAATTACAGAGATACCCCCTCCCCAAAATGACGTCGTTCGGGGAGGGGTTTAAATACCCATTAATCAGCTGAGAATGGCTTTAAGCCTTTCATTTTCTTCTTTCCTTTTTCTCTCTAAAAAAAGAGATAAAAATTCTCTCCGCCTTCTCTGATGAAGGCAATCGGCCGACCGCCTTGCTCCGGTGCCAGCACCACCACCGGCCACCGTATTCGGTGGCCGAAATTACAAAACCACCCCTTAAATTGAAGTCTCTATTTTTCTATACCCGAATCTAAAGTTTTTTAACCTAAACTCTTACCAATCGTTGTAGATCTAGGATCTTTTTCTTAAACGTTTCGGTTTCTGGTGGCTCGTAGAGGCTCTTCGGTGGTAAGTTCCCTTCTCTCTTCTTTCTTTGCTGTTGTTGGTTTATTTGTTGTGTGTCGTTTGGCTTATGTTCTCTTAGTTGCTCTCGTGGTTCTCTGTTTTTTTCTGTTCTTTTCTGTTGTTCTTGCTCTGTGTCTGCTTGTTGTGGCCTCTCTGTTTTTGTTATCTCCGGTTCTTCCTCCCTCTTCTTTTATTTTGCAGGTGAGTCGAGGCTTTTATAGCCTCGACGAAACACTCCTCGGACCGGTCACAGAAGGGTTTCTCGGTGAGGCGCCATAGCTATGGTGGTGACTCACCATAGAGCTCGACGTGGGGTGATGACGAGGCGTTTCTGGAGGCTTCTTTGAGGTGGCAGTGTTGTGGCTACAGCGGGGTGGAACACCTGGTAGAGGCGTCGGCTGCTGCTGGAGACTATTGGAATCATCAGAGGCGGCTGGAAGCTGAACCGTTGGCTGGGGCGGCTGGAATTTTTAGAAAACCCTAAAAGGGTTAGGGTTTCTCGATCTGGGCCACCAAGTTTGGGTGACTGTTGGGCCTCCAATATTTGTAAAATGGGCCTGTAATATTTATTAAATAATAATAATATAATAATAATAAT